ATCATGAGTACGTCGGGGTGGCAGTCCAGGGCTGGTATGGTACTTCATGGGTCAGATACCCACACTCCTTCTAACCTGTTTCTCTGTGGTGCATGCTTTTGTTCCCATGTTCAAGTGGCCGTGAGCCCAGCTGAAATCTAGGGGTTCTTTTACTGAAAAAGCAGAGGAAAACAGATGTGGAAAGCAACCAGTAGCATCTGCCCAAGCATCCAGTAACAAAAGGCTTCAGTAAAATGTTTCATAACTGGAGGGCCATTCAAAATCAAAATGCCAATGAGATATCGTTTTACCTGCATCAGACTGGCACAGTACAAAAGGTCCAACAAATGCCAAGTCATATAGATTGTAGAAAAATTTGAACTCTCATAATTGCTGCTGAAAGTGTAAATTGCTGTAAGCCCCTTGGAGAGCAATTTGTTTAGAGAAATTGCTTAGAACTATTCCTAAGAAAGCTAAAAATATTTATACCTATAACCCAGGAGCTGTATCTACTTCTAGAGGAAGACTCGCATGCACTTGAGGACACAGGTACTCGAACTGACTGTAGTATAGTGTGTAATATTGAAAAACTGGAAACAACCAAACGTCCATGGATAAATAAATTGTGGCATAAGTACGCAACGAATTATAGTACAGCAATTAAGATAAATGACCCAAAGGCAAGTGTATCAACATGGATAAATCTCAAAACATAAACTGAGGAGACTCGGTTGAATCTGTAATGTTTCATTTCATAGAAAAAAGAAAAGAAAAAAGATGTGAAGATTTGATAAACGGGGTGGTATTTGCATAGGTTTTCATTATATTATTCTTTTTTTTCAGGATTGCCACTGAAGGGTTGGTTTTTTTTTTTTTGCACTTTTTTAATTGTAAAATATCCATAACAAAATTTACCATTTTAATCATTGTAAGTGTACAGTTCACTGGCATTAAGTCCATTCACACTGTTTTGCGACAGTTATCACCATCCATCTACAGAACTTCTTTCATCTCCCCAAAATAAAACTCTGTATCCATTAAACAATAATGCCTCATTGTCCCCTCCCTCCATCCTTAGCAACCACCATTCTACTTTCTGTTTCTGTGAGTTTGGCTAGTCTAGGAACCTCGTATAAGTGGAATCATGCAGTGTTTGTCCTTTTGTGACTGGTTTATTTAACTGAGAAGAAAGTCTTCAAGGTTCATCAGTGTCGTAACATGTGTCAGAATCTCCTTCCCTTTTAGGGCTGAATGATATCCCATTGTATGCATGTGCCACAGTTTGTTTGTCCATTCATCTGTCAATGGACACTTGGGCTTCTTCCTTCCACCTTTTGGCTATTGTGAATAATGCTGCCATGAATACATGTGTACAAATACCTTCAAATTTGTGTTCAAAAAGCAGTTCGAGTCTGAGCTTTTAATTCTTCTGGGTATACATTCAGAAGTGGAATTGCTAGATCACATGATAATTCTATTTTTACTTTTCTTAGGAACATTATTTTTACTATGTGTTTGAAATGCTTCACAAAAATATAATTAAAGGTCTTTTAAAATGCTTCATGGTGGGTAGAAATTACTATAAAAAATGTTATATAGTATTGAAGTAAGAATGCCTTTGCATACATCTGATACTCTTTAAGAAGTCAAAATATTTAGTGGACTTGGCATTGGCTTCCCCAAATCCAAGCCCCTAGAAGGTTAATCTATACCCACACTGGTACTCAAGCTCCCCTTGCCAGTGATGGCTTCGTGAAGGCATGGGACCCACTTCCAGCCAGTGAGATGGGAAAAGAAAGATGTGTGTGTTGGGGGAGTGAGAGGAACTTCAAAGAACCAATTCCTTACTCCTAAGAAAGACAACAGGAGAAGGTGGCCTTGTTCCTGGGTGTGGCTATATTAGTATCGATGGCTAGAAACAATGCCTCCATCTTGCCACCATCTTGTGGTGGAGCCACAGCGGAGACGACAGAACCAGAGGGTGGCAAGGGCTTACGTTCCAGTGTTGCGGAGTTTGTTGTTGGGTGGGTAGCGCAGGTCCAGGTAGATTCAATAAATACCCTATTATTCAAGCTGCTTGAGGGGAAGCTATTCGTGGAGGCTGAAAGCATCTTCACTGATTACGTTAATAACTTCTAAGTTAAAAAAATTAAACAAGTCATATATTCTCATTACAAACACTTAAGAATACAAAGTAAACTTAAAAGTTCTCCTTCACTTTCCCCATCCCCTTTCTCTCCCTTAGACTTTTTTTTTTATTGCATACATGTACAGTCTACTTACATTACACACATGTTTTTGTTTTAAGAAAATTCTGGCTATACTATATACAGATCATTCTTTAAATTGCTCTTTTTACCTACAAATGGATTCTGAAAAATGTTCCATGCCAGGACTTAACCATCTACTTCATTTAAAAAATGTTGTGTTCTATTCCATGGTGTGGGAATACTCACATCTATTTCACTTTCCCTTTATTAGTGAACATTTAGACATGCCTCTTTGGGTGCTGGTGAAAATACTTATGAAGAGTAAATTCACTGAAGCAGAATTCCTGAGTCAATGGATAAGTGCACTTTCAGTTTTGATGTCAGCTTGCCCAGAGAATGCATGTGACAGTTTTGGAGTTTAGGCACCTAACGCATCAAAGGGCAGCCCGGTGCCAAGGGTCCCCCTCCCCACAGCTGCTGGCCTCTTCCAACCCAGTCTCCTCCAGCTGCCACCCCAGTGGCAGCGGCATGCTTTTCTCCCAGAGTGAAGCCCCAAGTCCATGGGAAGAATGAGAGAAATGAGGGGAGGAGACACTGGCCTTGCCTTCCAGGAACTTTCTTTGTCTTATGGGTAAAGGAAGCAACAATCAAGGCAGTTAATGATTCAACAGGGATGATATTAAAAATATTTAAAATCTATGTTAGGAACGCAAATTAGGACAGAGGTCTTGCCTTACTACCTCCTGATGGGAGGCTAGAAGCTCCCTGCTCAGCCAGACATTAACCCTTTAGTTGTCAGATGTACTAAGGTCTGGAGGATCCCAAGGAAGGGGCTGATGAGTGCAGACAGGGTGGCCAGACCCGTGTATATGAGCTGACATCCCATGGCATTCCAAGGGGCCACAGAGGATCTGAGAGGGCCCAGGTCCTCTGGGATACCAAGAAAGCTTCTGGGAAGAAGAGACTTTCTTGCAGAATTTGGACTGGGAGGAAAAGCAAGCAAGCCAGGGATCAGCAAGGTCAAGGTAAGCACTGACCCTTTACTTCCTTTCTCTGTATACGTATACAGCCCACCTTAAGGTGACTCCTCTTCCTAACCTGTCCAAAGAAATATACATTGATCGGGGGCAAATTTATTCTGTTTGAAAGAAACACGAAATTGGTCATTTTTATCACATAAAAAGACTCAATAAAATGCTCCCTGACCCCAATTTGCTTTATTTTGTGTAGTAGAGAAAGGCAAGGTTCTAAACGAAGCTACTTTTAAGGGCTAGAGAGCTGACCTCAGATCGTGAGCCAGTCCCTGGCTGACCCACTCATGGCCTTCTACTAAAAAGGCCTTTAAACCCACCAGCACCTCCTGAGCTCCTTGGAGGGGCCCTGCCTGGTGTCATGCTGTTGGATGATCCTCAAAACCAAGGCCCTAAGAGCCACATCAGGCCCTGAGAACCCGGATGAGAATTTATCATCCACTATAGATAGACCAGGGGACACTGAGACCCCAAGATGGAGAGCTGCCTTAGTTCAAACAGGTATACAGGAACAGGGGCAAAACTAGGCCTGAGTGCTGTTGGGGAGGGAGGGGCAACACCTTTTAGTGTCTGGTGGAGGGGCATGGCTAAGATGGGGACCAGGAGGCTGCTTAGCTCAGAGCAAACCTGCAGAGTTGGTAGAGGAGAATCAGAGGGACTGCAGCCAATTGTCCCTGCCTATGTAACGCAGGACCTGGGAGTGTTCAATCCGTTTAAAGAGAAACACGGGAGACTGACTGAGAGGCCAAGAAGCCTCAGGATATCTATTTGGTTCCCAGTTTTGGCCACTGGGGCGGGACTTGTCCTCTGCCTGAGGAGGAAGGCAGGGGGTGGGGGGAAGATGCCATCTTTGGTCTCCAGGTCCAAGGTCATTTGGCACCATCTCTCCTGCCTACCAGATTGCAGGCCGGTTCTTCCCCTTCTCTTTCAAGGCCGTTTGCACTACACCCTCAGGCCTTTCATAGTTTTTTGCACCGAGGTTCCGGATTGATGATGGGAATATTGAAGCTTCTCAGGGAATCATGTAGGAGCAGAAACGTCAGTGGTGGTTCTCAGATCTGCAAGCTAGGTCACCTGGGCACAGACCCGTTTATTTTTCCTTTTAACTCAGAGGATGAAGAGAGAGGGCATTGTTTTCTGCAGAAAGACACTGAGAGGTCCTTTTTAAACTTTTTAATTTTTTAACAGCCCTTCCTGAGCATGTCCTGCTGTTTAAAGTAAGGCCCCGAGTTTCCAGCATAGGCAGAAGACAAGCGCATGTAGGAACCTGTGCTGGGAAGTGGGGAGAGAGGGAGGGCGCAGAGAACCCCATCTGCAGCCAGGGAAGGGTCCATCTGTTTAAGGCCCCATCCCTAGGGGACCCTGCAAAGGCTCAGAAAGTGTTTCCTGCCCGCATCTGGGAGTCCAGTGCACCTGGAGGCCGCTCCGTGTCCACGCCCAGAGGGCGCTGCAGACTGGTGCCGACAGTCAATGACCAACTACTGCCCCTCCCGCCCCTCCGCCGGGCAGAGCCTCAATACCCTGGGCCAAGGGGGGAAGTGGGTGCGTCTGGCCCCCACAACCTGGGAATCTGGGAGCAGCGAAGCTGAAACTCCGGGAACCACAGCTTTCGGGGGCCTTGGCTCTGGAGACAGGCAAGGCTCTGCCACCGTGGTGTGGGACAGGGGCGGGGCTGGGGCTCCGAGGGTGGAGTGTTCCTTGGGGCCGGGCTGGTTGGCTCAGGGGGCGGGGTCCTAGGGGGTGGGGACTGGGGCTGGCCCCGAGACCTGGCGAGCTGGGGGTGGGGGGCTAGTTTTTGCAACGGCTAAGGGCCTGCGGGTTTATTAAAAGGCGGAGCTCGGCGGGAGAGGTGCAGGCGCGAGCCGAGCTGACCAGGGAGGAATCCAGCAGTAGAGAGCGGACTGTAGCCGGCGGAACCCACAGCCCTTGCCTAGGACAGCCGAGCACTGGGCATCGCTCGAGCGCAAACCGTGGAGCCGACCCAGAGCTCCGCTCAGTCCGCGCAGCGCCGCGCAGCCCCGACCCGCGCAGTCCGCCGCTCTTGCACCACCGGTCCGGGCAGCATGAGGCACGCGGCGCTCTGGCTCTGTCTTTGCGCGCTGGCGCTGCGCCTGCAGCCGGCCCTCCCGGTGAGTGTAGCCCGGGACCGCGCTGGGAGGCGGCGGGAAGCTGGGGCTGGCAGACCCGCCGATGCCGGCGGCGGCACGTGGAGGGGGAGGGGAAGCGGGGACTTCCCTTCTTCCCGCGCTAGCCCAGCGGGCCCAGGGACCTGGAGCCCGGAAATCAGGGCTCCCACCCCAATTGCCTCCACCGTCGGGGGGCGCCGTGCAGCTTTTGCTGCTCCGGGCCGGGGCCTGGGGCGCCCAGCGGAGCGGAGCCTGTGCCGGGGCCCCGCGCTCAATTATATAAAACGGCTCCACTCGAGAAGGGGCCCGCCAGCCTGCGGCTGCGCCTGGGGACACCGGCTATCATCCAGCCACCCCCTGCACCGCGGCGGCCGGGTTCCCGCCGGTAACCCGGGTGGATGCTGTGATCGCGGCAACTACGCCCCGCCCGCGAACCCTAATTCAAACCAGACCAGCCGAGCCGGGGCGCCTGGCCCCTCTGGCGGAGGCAAGTTTGGGCGCAGCAGAGTCGGCGCGGGAGCAGGCGGGCGTATTCGCCAAGGAGCCCCAGCCAGGACTGCGAGGGGACGGGGCGGGCCGGTGGAGGTGGGGTCCTAGGCTGTCCGCTGACTGCTCTAGAGGAGCCGGGCCGAGCTGGTAGCGTGAGGTTCTGGGAAGTTGGCTCTGGAACGCTAAAGACCCGCTGTAACCCAACTTCTGGGCTGCTAAGTTGTGCTGCCCGCAGAGAGGCGCGAGCCGGCGCTGGGCACGGCCCGGGCGCCCAGGCGGCTTCCACGCGAGTAGACCCGGGAATGGCTCTTCCCCTCCCCCGACCTGGCTTTGTGCTGGAGCCGCGCGGAGGGAAGGCGGGTCACTTGGCCCGCCCAGTGGAGCTGGAGGGAAAGGGGGACAAATGTGGAGCCCGAGGCTGTGGGGAGGCCTTTGGGTAGGACTCCAGCATCTACCTTTGGCGAGGGGTGGGTCCCCTCTAAAGAGGGACCTACCCGACAAAGAGCATCCCGAGGGTCCCCAGAAAGTGATCTCCCGCCCCAGCCGCCGTCCGCTGGCCCGCCTTCCCCAAAGGGGGCGCTTTGTTCTCGGCCCCTGTAACCCTTTCCTGGGAACCGCCCCGCAGCGCCGGCCCTGACGTGGGCTGGGGCCTGGGCTGCCGCCAGGTGTCAGCGCTGGCCGCTGGGTGCCCACGTCCACCGTCCAGCCCCTACGCCCAGTGCTAGAGTACCGGGGTCCTCCCTGCGGGCGGGTCGGCCATCCCCAGGGATGGAAAGGGGAGATGCGGACCGAGGGGCTCTTCCCCTTCCGGAAGTGGCGGTCTCTCGCCACAACATCTGGACAGCTGGACTTCCCTAGCTCTGGCAAAAGGAGGCACGTGGGAGGGGAAGGAACGTCTGCCGGGGGTGGGTATCCCGGTCCAACACTTACAATGTATTATCTCTCAGCAACGCCAACCCTCCAAGCGGGTCCTTTCGTAATAATAGTAGCTCCCAGTCATTGAGAGCCTTGCGGTATTTCACAGGGTCTGGCTCAGGCGAGGTGCTTTCCAGGCTGATCTGTAAAGTGCACTCCATGCTTCCCAGGTGACTGTTGTGCTTGGAAGAATTTTGGAGTCCAGGAAAGAGTCCCTCCTGCTCTTGAATGCTGATGAGTTGGGAGTGTGTGCATATGTGGTGCCCATTGCTCCCCTAAGCCATGGGGACAGACAGGATTTCTGAGCTGGGTCTCCAGAGCACTTCTGGCTTTCAGGTCCCAGAAGTTGGCATCTGGCTTCTCCTTCACTCTTGAAGGTCGTGGCTTCAGTGGGATTCATACTGCCCCTTGAATCAATAATTAATACTCTGGAGAAGGAGGTGGAGGAGTTTGGCTTACCTCCCTGGCCCACCTGGCATTAACTGGCTGCCCTACTCTCTCTAGGCTCAAAATGGGGCCTCAGCAGTACTCCACCTTTTTCTAGCCAGAGTCGCGAGGAGTGGTGTTCTTTTGCCTGCCCTACGTAGGCTGGCAGTCCTCTGAGCTGGGATCCCAGAGCACCCTTAACGTGGAGAGGCAGATGGGACCATGTTTCCCAGACTTTTTCTGTGCTGGGAAGGAGCAGATGCTGCATTTGTCACCCCCTCCCCCACCCCCCGGCCTAGAAACTTTGATCCATTATGGAGATACAGGGCTGAGAGACAGCTGAGTTTCAAGTCTGGGGCAGGGGAGGCTCAATAGAGCTGCAGTGGTGGGAGGCTTCCTGGAGGAGGTGGTTGAGCTGAGCCTGAAAACACTAAACTTTGGGGTCAGACTTTGGCTCAGAGCTTAAGTCTTCTTTTATAAAGTTTAGTTTGTTTTCTCTTTCCCAGCTCTATCTTCTCCCTTTTACAGTGGATGTCCGTATTTGGTTAACAGTAGGGGCATAAAGTACCTTCCCAGAGCCCTCTTCTGCATTCTTCCTAAAAGAAATAAGGCAGCGGGATTTGTTGAAATAGGAGATGTCCGCTGGTTGCAGAGACCTGGCCTCTCCCAGGTTTCACTTTGGCCCCATTGGGAAGCAGGTCAGAGCCCCCTGGGGACCAGTGAGGTAGGGTATGATCCTGGGCGCCTGATTTGGACAAGGGAAAGCTGCTAGGGCAGGAGGTTGCTCAAAACCACTCCCAAGAGATGAGAACAGGTTTGTCTAAAAAGCTTTCTGTGTGTGGTTGTGTGTATATGAGAGATTCCCGTGGTCTTGTTTCTGCCATGCAAGAAAAATTGCTTGTTCTGGGAAGTTATTTGCTGTTTTCCTCTCTTCTCTTTCTTGAAAGGCATAAAATCCCTTTTTGCCTTAATTATGGGGGCTAGTAGAGACATTTCCCGACGGCCTGGCAGAGTGGGTGGGGGCTGGGGAAAGCTCTAACTGCCTCGGTCCACCTGGGCTCAGAGCCTTCTGGAGGTGATGTCACTCCTGGCTTTGGTTCCTTGGGGAGGGTGGGGCTGGTTTAAGTCTCTACCTGTGGCTCGTGGTGGGTTCCAATAAAACCTCACTAACCCAAATTGTTGGGGAGAGGGATAAGAAAGGAGAGGAGCCTGGAAAGAATTAATGAAGAGCTTCAATTTTGGAGAATTTTATACAGGAATCGTTTATTGAAGGAGAATTTTGGATTCTGAAATCCCTTGAGAATGAAGTATCCTTGGTAGCCAGGTTTTTTTCAGTAAGCTAAGAATCCGTATTACCCCCACAAGTATTCTTACTTTGGGCAGGACTCCGAAATATTTATTTCCCTTACTTTATTAACAAAAGAATACTAGGCATAGTTTAATCTCTGGATGCCAGGGTCCTCACAGCTGTCACCAAGTTAGGTTATGGCATTTGTCTCCTGGGTTTTTGAGCTCTGAGCATACTTTGTCCCTGGGCCCGGTGCCCCCATGGTGGTACATTTGGAATTCTGGTTTCTCTTTCTCCTCTTCTATCCCTGTCTGACGGCAGCCAAAAGTGGGCGTAGGCGTAGCAAGTGGCTTTTCAGTTCAGTTCTAACTGGCACTTTTCTCCAGCAGTACTAAGAAACTAGACAGATTTGCTCGAATTATTTCTAAGACAGTTTTTGGCACTGAGTAAGGGTCTCACCTGTAAGTAGTGTTCATGATCTGTGATAATGTGGATTTTGTGCCTTCATGGCCCCAGCTGGGACTCCGTAGTATGCCTGATAGTACCCTAGATAACAAAGAGGCTGTCAAGGGAGATGCTTATGGACTCCCTTGTTGAATAGGTGTCAGTGACCTCTGGGGGAAGCACCTGACCATGAGTTGTGGTGACCTGCCTGTCACAGGTAACAACTGGCAAGGCTAACTCGCTATAAATCCTGATTGACAAGGGCCCTTGTCCTCAGCTTGGGTCCTGTCGCCATTTTCTCATCGTATTTCACTTGGGTGATAGTGTACGCATTGCAGCGCACCCAGCTTTGGATGAAGTCGAGCCCTGGGATTGGTCTCTGCTCTGCCACTAATTTACCACGTAATCTCAGGCAAGTCACTTTGCTTCCAAGTCTTGACATCCTGTGTCAAGCGGACATCAGACCTGTTCTCCCTGTCCTCATTCTGTCATTTGAGTATTCATTTCATAATGAAGGTGTGAAAGTGTTTGGTAAGGAGGGCGCCAGAGGAAAGTTAGCTGTTGATCGAATTAGGGTCATCTTTAACTGAATGCCTACTATTGAGTGCTCCATACTTTCCTGCATCCTTATTTCATCTTTACCCCAAACCTTTACCATGTATGTCATTGTCCCCATTTTGTGGATGAGGCCAGCAGGGGTGAGCCCCTCCAAGGGAACAACATGGAAGCACCAGAATTTGTACATATGTGTGTGCCTATGTGTCTGGCATGAAGAAACTGCAGGATTGGCAAGTCTCCCCCATGAAGCCCGGCCTGCGAGGCTGGCTGAAACCTGCAGAGCTTGCCCTTGCACTTGCCCCCGGGGCGGCAGCCAGCCTACTCTGACTTTCATCTTGGGCACTGGGGAAGCATTTGTGGAATTAGTAGATCTCTTTTTAAGCCTGGAAGGCAGGCACTGTGGCACCAGTTGAGTGACTAGAACCGAGGACTTCTGGCTCCTGCACTGGGCTCACTCCTGCCGTCCACCCCCATCTCCAGGTCCCACTGCCAGAGCGGCCACATGAGGATTTGATCATTAAATGAGCTCTAGTCCCAGAGCCCTGGGGTTTTTACAGAACAAACGATTTCCTGATTCCCTTCTTCTTTCCAACAACAAATTTTGGAGTCTTGGGTTGAAACCCTTCTTGAAGGCCTGCATAAGTCTGTCTAGAGGGAAGGAATGGGGTTAACGGAGTCTGTGGAAAGAAGACTTTTGGCGCCAGGATCGTACACCCTGGAACAGATTCAGCGCAGTGTCATTTCCCTCTCAGCTGTTCCAGCAGAGGTTGGGCTTTAGATGGGAGCGTGCATTCGGGAACCTCCCTCTGAGCGGCCATGAGTGCCCTGGCAGTGCCCAGGGAGGGCAGGCCTTGTATGCACCTCTCGACACCAGGAGTCACAT